GGGACCTGGCCAGCATCTGATTGCGGGTCCAAGACGATGGAGGTGTTCCGAAGGCATGAGGAGAGGATCCAAAGAAGATCTGGGCGCACAAGTCTCGAACCTCTTGCTGCTGATGGTAGCCGATGAGATTGCAAGGACCACTGCTTGGTGGAGGTGACACAAAGGATTCAGCCAAAGCGAGGGGACCCTTTTTCTCAACTTGTTCACGTTCATCCCAAAAACACACACAACCAGAAAAGAAATGTTCACTAAAAGGTTCAGGATCACGATCAATCACTCGGTGCGAAATCTCTCGAGGTGTCGAATCTACACAGCTGTGCTGTCAGTCCATTTCTCCTGGAGGGGAGATGTCCCTATTCAAAGCAAAAAAGACAAAAAGACAAACAAGGGCCGGTCCAAGGGAGAGCTCAGGGCCATGATGTCACTGGCCAATGGAAACACTTGGCGCACTGAGGGAGCACGTTCAAGAGCAATCGCTTTCCTCGGGCCAACGGCCTTCAATACCATTTGGTCGTGCTCAAAATCGGTCACTGCCTTCAGCGACCGAAGAGCGGACACTGCAAGTAAAATTGGTTGACCTTCAATGTCATGTATGTGAACCTTCATTGAACCGGCACCCTGGTTCAATGGAACTTTCAAGGTCCAGGGATCAAAGCTGAAGTTCCATAGCGGCCACTGAACCTACGGAGCTGGTTGCTCCACCATCGATTATGGCCTTGCCCTCGGTATCATCGATGTTCGCTGTGAGGGCCGTAGCAAGTGGCTTCTGGACGCCTGTCAGGGTGAAGGCCAGGTGTGCTGAGCCACTGTGAGATGTCTGTGAGCCTTGTGCGCACTTGCTTGTGTGATGCGAGCCGCCACATTTGAAGCACTTGGGAGTGTAGTAGAGTCACTCCGGGCCTTTGGAGGGGCACCATCACGCTTCGTGGGATAGAACTGTCGGTTCTTCCGGTAAGTGCTTTGGCGCTCACGAGCATCTTTCAAAGTCCTTTTGGCCTGATGGAAGGCCTGAAGAGCATGGCCCACGTCACTGCAGAGGAGGCCATACAGAAATCGGACTCTTCCTCATCCTGTTGGAGCAAAACGTCCTTGGAGCCATCCTCGTCAAGAGCCAAGGCCGTGCCTCGGTTCTGATCACGACGACGAAGGTCATCTTCTGGCCAGGCGAGCTTCAATGCCTTCTTCGCGTTGTCAGTCGTGAAGATGTTGCGAAGGTTTGCAATGATGGTTCCACGTTCAGCGCTGTCCAATCCAGAGCGTTGAAGGAGCATCCATGCCACCGCAAAATCAGGAAGGAAGCGGTCAGCTTCTGAGGAGGCGGCGCTGGACACGTCATACTTGGCGTCAGGGACGACGGGATAGATGGCTTCTGATGTGACCACCAGTCCTGATTTTTGCACCAGCCACTGTGCCAGTCGTGAACCTTCAAGCAAGAAGGGCACAGGGCCCGGTATGATTTTCTTTTGTTTGGGGTTCCAAACAGGGATGGTTGTGCAGTAAAACTCACCCCACCGTTTGTTTGTTTGCAAATCTCTCTTCAAAGTTCTTGATGCGTCGTTGTCCCTTTCTTCTGAGCCTTTTTCAGGCTTGGTGCCTTGAGCCTTTTTCAGGCTTGTGTTCCCCACAGGGTTGTTGAATTGTAATCAAAACTTATCTGCTTTCTTCAAAAGCTCAATGCCTTCTGAAGCAGGCACTTTGTTTTTCTTGTACAAGCTTTTCAATGCTTCTCCCAAATTCTCTTCAGCGTCTTCATTTGGTTTATACCAGAGCCTCTCTTCAGGCTTCCAAGATCTCTAGCTCTTAGGTGCACTGCTTGTGAGGCACCGCTTGCCACCAAAAGTGACAGAAACAAACAAAAAAAGCCTGTCATGCTTGAACCAAAAGGCTACAATCATGTATGTTCGTAAAACATGAAAAACACAGCCACAGCAAAGCCCTTGTTTCTCCTGTTTATGTCCCATGTTGCTGGCTCCTGCCTTTCACAGGCTCCTCTCGCCAGACTATGTGCCACGGACTTCTACCTCAGCCTTCTCAGGCTCAGTCTCATCCTCCACCTTCTTAGCCTTCACAGGCTCGCTTTTCCCTGGTGTTGTAGGCTCTGCCTTCACAATTGCTGTAGCACGCCTTTTTTGGGGCATCATCCTTCCTAGAATGCTTGGAGATGCTAAGGTTGTGTATCTATTTTATTGCGCGTTGAAATGCTCAGGTTTTGTATCTATTGTGTTGTTTTGAAATGCTGTTCTGTTGTTCTGCGCACATTTTGTTGGAACGCTGTCATGATGTGACTGGCTGCTTAGCCTGGAGCCCCCAAAAAAGCGCACATTCCAAAGTTTTGTCCTGAAAAATCAAAAGTTAGAAAGTTAGAATTTTTGACTTTTTGTGGTGGGGTTCCCAACCCTCCCCCCGCCCCGCATTTGCGCGCTTTTTTCAAAAACCTGCTTCTTCAGTGAAGAGCTGGGCACTGCAGCCTTTCCCAGGCTCAAGCCGAGCTGAGAACGACAGCCTTTCTCAGGCTTGAGCTGAACACTACCTTGCTCAGGCTTATAGCCTTTCTCAGGCTCACCCTTTTCATGCTCCACAGCCTTCTCAAGCTTTTTCTTTCCATCCCCTTGTTCAGCTCTGGCAGGGGTGCCCTTCCAAAACCTTCTAATGGATGTTAGGCTCCTCGTTTTTTTCTCTTAGGGGGGAGTATCACTTGCGGAGCCTCTTCCAGGCGTTGTTTTTTCTCTTGACCTGCTGGATTCAGAGCTCTCTGATGGGCTCCTGTAGTACTCCCACTTGGTCCAATGGGTCCAGTGGTTGTCCTCCTCCTCCTCCTCCTGCCCATCATCCTTCTCAGCCTTTGCAGGCTTGGGAGGCTTGTATTTTTACATCTCTTCCATTTCTGGCTTTGCTTGGATGTAAACTTTCTTGGCAGCCCTGGTTTCCTTTACAAACCTAAAGCTTTTGGAAGCAAGCCAAGTTCTGCCTTTAGCCTTTGCAGGCTCTTCCCCAGCCTCTTCCTCATTTGCTTCAGCCTTTGCAGGCTTTCCCCTTTGCAAGCTGTTTCCTTGCCTTTGCCTTGCTGGCTGCTGGCCTTTTGGTAGCAGGCTTTTTGGAAGCACCAGCCTTTGCAGGCTTCTTCACAATTGGTTCTTCCACTCCCTCAACCTCTGACAGCTCTGATGCATGGACAATGCCAGAGCTTGACACTGAAACCAGACTTTGGGTGTCTGCAATCTGCTCAGATCCACTCTTCTCAGAGCTGTCGCCAGCAAACCTGATAGCCTTCACAGGCTGGCTTCCCTTTGCTTCAGCTGACTGCTTCCCAAACATCCTTTCTGCAGGCTCAGTGCTTCTTCTGCTACCACTCCCAGCCCTTTTCAGGCTTGGCTCTTCTTCCCTAAAAATCACTTGGAAAAGTGTTTTCAGCACAGGGCCGGTTTTCTCACAAGTTTTCATGTTGCTCTTTTCTTCTTGAGCCAGGTTTTGTATTCATGTAAACTGTTCACCATTTGCTTGATTTCAGAACCTTTGAGACTTGGACAGGCTTCTTTGAAAGCCAGCCTCTCTTCAGGCTTCTTGTTTCCGCTGGCCCCATACCACTGTCAGGACAGAATTGGGCCTTTTGCAAGCTTGGAATGGGTCTGCTGGAAAATCACCCACAGTGCAGCAAGGGATGGATCCCTTGATCAAAGCTGACAAGCTTTTCACATGATCAGCTGCCTCAGGCAAGATGATGTCCATGGCTCAGGTTGAAAAGAAGCGTGAAAGATCAGAAACTTGAAAAATAACTTAGCTTCTAAGCTTGCAGAAGTCAAAAAACATGACTTCTGAGAAGTTACTTTTTTTGTCTTCTGAAAATGTGCCTAGAAGACATAAATTTTGCGACTTCTCTGGGAAGACACTTTTCGAGCCAGAAGATAGAAAACCTGTCTGGCAGACAA